AAAAAAAAAAAAAAAAAAAAAAACAATTGGTTGTATTATCGATTTATTTGGATTGAATTAGGATCAAATAAATATTGAAATTGTCTGGTTTTGAAAGCAATACCAAGTGGGGTACAAAGAGAGGAGAATTCAAAAGTATTTTGAAAGCAATACCGAGCGGCCTAAAACTTGAGTTACTGTGGGTTCTGGTCGATCCCACCAGATTCAGCAGAGGTACGAAGCTGCGACAGGTTACTCGCAGTTTAGTTTCGAAGGTTCTTCTTCTTCTTGTGCTGGAAAGTTTAGACATTTAAGAATAAGTTGACGGTCTCTCCTATTTTAAATTAAGCCATATTTCAAGTAAGCTAAAAGATTTAAAAGTTTTTTCATAAGAAAATTTGAGATTTTGGTTTCTGATTTATTTGTATCATTGCTAAAGAATCCTCTTTTATTTTCCTTTCCTATTTTCAGAAGAAAAAAATTGGGGAAGAAAGGTCTCATGCAATGGGTACTTGAATTGAATTAACTTTTTTTTTAAAAAAATATCTCTACTAAATCACTAAGTTTTCGATTTTGTGGTCTTTTAGCTTTACTAAAAAAATCTTTGGTGTCTAAGAAATTTTTTATCCCCCTAATTTTCTTACCCAGAAAAAAAATCGCTAATATATCAAACACAAAATTAAAAATTTAATGGCCTATCAAATAGAATTTTTATTTCACATCAAATATATTTATTTTTAACATTTTTAGAGACCTAGTAGACATAATATTAAATACTTTTTAAAAATTAAAAAATCTATTAAATACAATTGAAAGTTTAAATATATTTATTTTTAACATTTTTAGAGACCTATTAGACATAATATTAAATACTTTTTAAAAATTAAAAAATCTATTAAATACAATTAAAAGTTTAAATATATTTATTTTTAACATTTTTAGAGACCTATTAGACATAAGATTAAATACTTTTTAAAAATTAAAAAAATCTATTAAATACAAACATAAAAACAGGATAAATGTTTTATGTTAAAAATACAGGATACTTAAAAGTTTCTAAAAGTGCTTTTGAGGGTATACTAAAAATTTCATCCAGGAAAAGGTATTTTTTTTGTTTGTTTTTAAAATTAAGGGTGAATGCATCTAAAAGTTAGAAGATAGATTTTTTATGACAAATTACAAAGTTATGAAGTATTTTTTATTAATTTAGCCAAAATTTTAATTTTAATTTTTTTTTTGAAAAATAAGCAATAATTAATTGGCAAAAAATTGGTGTATGAATGACGAATAGAAGGATTATTTATTAGCAGGAAAATACGTTTGGAAGTGGTATTACTGCTACCTGGAGAGTGGAGTGGTTGTTCGCATCGCTGTCCTGCTTCATCAACGGCCACGCATTGTTCTTGTGGGGGATGATGCTCAAATTCTTCTATAAACTCATTGACCATCTCCAGGTAAGCATCCAGATGAGCTCGCTTCCACTCCTAAAGATTCGCAGTACATAAAATTGTTCAGATTTCAAAACGAATGGGAATAACATCGCGCCTTTTAACTTCCCAAGTTCTGACCAAGAAAAAAAAAAAAATACAAAATCACCGCTGACAAGATTCTCACGTACAAGCAAATGCCAGACGAGGAAAAAGAAAAATACAAAATCCCCGCTGACAAGATTCCCGTTATTTTAGAAGAGATACAAAATGTTCATTATTGGAACTATGGTTAGTTAGAGGACGGAACTAACCAAAAACCTATCAAGGAAATTAAGATTAAATTTAAGAAATCTCAATCAATGCAATGCTGAGCGAGAGTCTCACATTAGCTAATTTAGGAAATGTTCATGAGTTTATAAGTAAAGGAATACATCTACATTAGAGTGAAGCCCTTCAAAAAAGCCCAAAATAAAGCATCTGATTTATGATATAAACACAAGGAAGTAACTAAATGAGTCGTAATAATCTCATTTGTAGAATGGGGGGCGGGGAAATAAAAAATGTGGAAGAGAGAAAAAAAAAAAAACCAATAAGACTTGATTCAATTTATTTCTTATATTGGTATACGATTAAATCATTGGTGAACCCTATAAGAACAGATGTCCTGGTCCAGTGCACAAGAACATGTGAAATGAGTGGTCAAAAACAAAAAAGTTTCTTCTCCGTGGTATGATGTATAAATGTTATACTGAGTAGTGGAACAACAAAGGATTAAGTTTTTTACCTCAAAATCCCAATCTCCATACAGGTCTGGATCCCTTTCGTTGTTCCAAATATAGACATAAACTAATAACTTCTCAAGACTGTCCAGCAAAAGGTTATCTAAAGCCTAAAAAAAAGATCAGAAAGCACAATCGTGGAGAGGATTAAATATACATATGTTTCGACTATCTTCATTAGCATAAATAATTAAGTGGTACGAATCCCATAAGAAAAATTGCCAGCGCAATAGAACGGAAAGTGATCTCAATGTTCATTAAGCTTTTCATTAGCTTCCAAGCAATGATCTCAATGTTCATTAAGCTTTTCATTAGCTTCCGAGCAATTTACTGAAGGGTAGTAATTGTTGGATGAAAGTCCCACATCGACTAATTTGGGGAATGTTCATGGGTTTATAATTAAGGAATACTCTCTCCATTTGTATGAGGCCTTTTGGGGAAGCCCAAAACAAAGTCATGAGAGCTTATACTCAAAGTGGACAAATATCATACATTGTGGAGAGTCGTAATTCCTAACATGGTATCAGAGCCATGTCCTAAACTTAGCCAACTTTATTCAAGGAGAGTCGTGATTCCTAACAGTAATAATGAAGAACTACTACTGATATGTTTGTATAGCAAGTTATACAAACGAATTTTATAGTAGTGCGTACTTGATCGGATGGACAAATATCATACATTGTGGAGAGTCGTAATTCCTAACATGGTATCAGAGCCATGCCCTAAACTTAGCCAACTTTATTCAAGGAGAGTCGTGATTCCTAACAGTAATAATGAAGAACTACTACTGATATGTTTGTATAGCAAGTTATACAAACGAATTTTATAGTAGTGCGTACTTGATCGGATGGACAAATATCATACATTGTGGAGAGTCGTAATTCCTAACATGGTATCAGAGCCATGCCCTAAACTTAGCCAACTTTATTCAAGGAGAGTCGTGATTCCTAACAGTAATAATGAAGAACTACTACTGATATGTTTGTATAGCAAGTTATACAAACGAATTTTATAGTAGTGCGTACTTGATCGGATGGACAAATATCATACATTGTGGAGAGTCGTAATTCCTAACATGGTATCAGAGCCATGCCCTAAACTTAGCCAACTTTATTCAAGGAGAGTCGTGATTCCTAACAGTAATAATGAAGAACTACTACTGATATGTTTGTATAGCAAGTTATACAAACGAATTATGAAGAACTACTACTGATATGTTTGTATAGCAAGTTATACAAACGAATTTTATAGTAGTGCGTACTTGATCGGAATGTATCTACGTTCTCCGATTCGATGACCAAATCTAGTACAAAGTAGTTGATAATAAAGCACATTTGAGCACCAAAATGAGTCAAATAGTTTACCGTTAAAGAGACCTCAACTGTGCTCCTTTTGTATTCAACATCCTCAAATGCGTCTAAAATATCCAATTCGGTGTCTGTGATGCCTGAAAGAACCTGCCGAGTACAGGATACTTCAATATGAAAACCATAAAACGTTATGGAAAAAAGTTCAGATTCACTAATAATCATTCAACACACGATGGTATACAAACCTTGCCAGATACTTTCTTGCCATCAACAGGTATGATCGCTGGATAAACTCGTCCTTTAATGGTTAATCTTTGACTGCAAATTCTCGAGCAAATTTACAGAGTTAATCATGAATTCGGGAATACAAACGAGCAATAAAATAATATTTCAACACAATCCTTCCTAATCGTATAAGCTAAGAAGCAAAACCTTGAAAATTAGAGCAATCACATAGAGCAATGCAATAACAGTTTGTATTAATTATTTGGAGATCGTCATCTGTAAACTTCTGAAAAGAAGAGTTAAACAAATGAACAACATAAATTCAAGCGAATCATCAATGCAGTGAATCAAACTCTCGTTAAGGAAACTGACACAAATTGGCCTATCATCGACAAAAATTTTGCTCGAATCTATCAAAAGAGAAGAAAGTAACAGTGACGAAGAATAAATTGAAGAGAATCATTTGATTTGCAAATCAAAAAGCTTAAATGTAGAAGAATATTTCTGAAGTAATCCTTTCTTATCATATGCGTTAACACTAACTAAGAAATATAACCTAGAAAATCACAAGAAGCATAACAGTTTCCTAACAATAAGTAATAGATGATCAATATCCACAAACTTCTATAAAGACGAATTAAACAAAGAAACAGCATCAATCGAGTAAACCATAAGATTGATAGAGCGAATCAAACTCTCCTATGAGAAACCAGCACGAATTAGCCTATCATCGATGCGAGTTTTGCTCCAAAATTACCAAAAAAAGAGAGGAAATAACAGCGACGTTTAGCAAATCAAAACGCTAAGAGTAGACGAATATTTCTAATGCAATTCTTTCTCATCATAACGCTAATGTCAACTAAGCAAAAAAACCTGGAAAAATCAAAACAAGCATAACAGTTCTCAAACAATATTTAAAAGAAGATGAACATACATGTACTTCAGTAACTACGAATTAAACAGAGAAACAGCATAAATCCGAGTAAATCACAAGATTGAAATGGAGAACCGAAATCTCATTTCGAAAACCAGAACGATTTTACTTCGAATACATCAAAAGAGAAGAAACTAACAGCGATGATTTGAAAATCAAAGAGTTAAGAACAGAAGATGAAAGAACGAACAAGTCATAAAAAAAGAGAGGAAATAACAGCGACGTTTAGCAAATCAAAACGCTAAGAGTAGACGAATATTTCTAATGCAATTCTTTCTCATCATAACGCTAATGTCAACTAAGCAAAAAAACCTGGAAAAATCAAAACAAGCATAACAGTTCTCAAACAATATTTAACAGAAGATGAACATACATGTACTTCAGTAACTACGAATTAAACAGAGAAACAGCATAAATCCGAGTAAATCACAAGATTGAAATGGAGAACCGAAATCTCATTTCGAAAACCAGAACGATTTTACTTCGAATACATCAAAAGAGAAGAAACTAACAGCGATGATTTGAAAATCAAAGAGTTAAGAACAGAAGATGAAAGAACGAACAAGTCATTGAGGACGGCAGCAGAGGACTGAGGAGTGCGCTTCAAGAGGATATGAACGACTTCATCAGACAAGAGACTACCGTAGACGAAGACTCTGTGAAGATTCTGCTGCGTATGAGAAGGCGCGAGAGAAGGCGCGAGAGAAGCCAGAGATGCCGAATCCATTTTCCGCTGAAATGTTCTCTGGGATTTGTCTCCAACCAGAATATAAATGAACTTGTTTGCTATTAATAACGTACCAAACCCGATTATTTCATCCACCTGGCGCTGTTAATAATATTAACAAATTGGGATAAATAAATAAATTTATTAATTTGTTTTTATTTATATTTTTAATTCAAGAAATAGTTACAAATAATCCCCCATTAACAAAATAAATTAAATTATAAATTTAGTTTATTTAGAGTTCTTTTGTGAATTCTACCTTTCAAAATTATAGGATTTGGAGTAAATTTTAATTTTTAGTTCAAAAATTTTAATTTACAAAAAAAAAAAAAAAAAAATCATTTAATTTTTTAAAGGTAATTCTCAATTTATCATTAATTTTCTAAAAAATCTCAATTTTAACGGTATGATAAAAATTATCAATAAAATATTTATCTTTTAATTTATTAATTAAATGTGATATGTCTGTTATTATTTATTAATAAATTAGATTATAAGTTTATATATCTATAAACTTTTTTTTATTTTAAGAGTGTGTAATAAGTTTCTAAATTTTCAATTTTGTGTCTAATATGTTCGTAAACTTTCAAGTTTGTGCTATATACATATCTAACAAATTCATTTTAAAAAAAAATTAACTTACCAATTTTATATGATTTTGAATGGTACATCTAATAATTGATTCTAGAATTTTAAATTTGTGTTTAATAGGACCATGATAAATTTAAAGATCGACTAAATATGTAATTTTGAAAGTTCATTGACCAAATAAACACAAAATTTACCGTTAATGAGCTAAATTTGTAATTTAACCACAGTAATATATATATATATATATTTGTACATTAAACTACCATATGCGTAGCATTTTCATGTATTCATATATATTAATAAAACATAATTTAGCAATACACCTTTTTTCTTAGTAAATTTCAACCATAAAGAACTTAATTGAGAATTCATAGATGGATAAAGGTAAAAAATTAAAATTGAAAATTGTAAAAAGTAAAAAGTTAAAAGTTAAATTGAAAATTATCTAAAAGATTAGATTGTAATTATAATTCAGTTTTATATTATAAAGGTTAAAATTATTGAAGACTATTTATGAGAATTTTATAATTTAGTTCTATAATTACAAAGTTTTAAATTATTAAAATTATTAAAGACT